AAGAGAGGAATGTCTTCTCACAGTGTCCTATTCATACAGCATGTGATAGATATCTCAACTTTGAGGCTTTTGACATGGAATGCCACTAATCCACATATTTTCTTCTTTTACTTGATCCAAACCACCATCCCTCTCTTTGTCTCTCTTTCACTCTTTCTGAATAACTTCATAAATCATGAAAATCACTTGATGGACAGAAATAAAAGGAGTTGCTGAAGAAATGTGCATACCTCAATGACTTTAACTTGACTGAGAGAGGTCCCTCCCAGTCACAATATGGTACAGCTAACATAGGTATGATGCAGTTAACACCTGCACTGGATGATTCCGTCATAGAATAGTTTCTGAATGGCTTTCTTACACACAACAGTTTCCTGTGCCCATGGCTCAATATGGGATGTCTCAGCGAAGACCAGATACCTTCTCGATCACCTCAGTATCTTTTCTTCCTCATACTTGTAAGAGTAGGCATGAACCATTTAAAAACATGCAGAATATCTCACCCTCTCTTCAGGACCAAAACAGACATTACTTTGTTTTACTTAAACAGACATTACTTAAGCTGTGCTTTGCAGCTATAGCTTTTAAACATTTATTCTAGAGTAGATGCAAGGGGAGTAATCCAGATCTTAAAATCCCCTCTAGGCCTCCTACTAGAATCCTAATCCAGTTTAGGAGCCCTGTACCTATTGTAGAGTAAAATGGAAAAAAGATGTAGCTGTGTGGCACTGAAGCAATGTCTGTTTTGGCCCTCAAACTATGTATCAGTTAGTTTAAGAGGTCAGGTAGCATAAGGTAGTCTAGAGGCCATTAGTTTATTACTCTATTGATTAAATTTTTATCCTACCTTTTTATCAAATGGTTCTCAAGGTTGCTAGCAACAATAAAATGCCAAGTAAAAAAAAAAAAAAACGCAGGCAAAACACAGCAATGACATCTATAAAATCACCCTGTTAAAGTTACTTCTTAGAGCACTTTTGCAATGACCGCAACAGGTCAGCTCTTGAGAGCAAAGGCCTGTTTGAAATAAGATGCCTTTGCTGGTGGAAGGTCATCAGAGATGAGCTGGGGTTCCAGATCCTGGGGACAGCCACGGAAGTCATCTTCTCTGGAGTTCCCACCAAATACGTTTATGTTTCTAGGGCAGAAAAATGGACGTACCCTCTTGATTTTAAAACACGAGCAGTCTCATATGGGAAAAATACAAGGCTTTTCTACTTGAGGCTTTAAACTTTTCATTTTATCAAGGCCTCTTCTTCTGATTCTGTTTGGAATTAAGATTGACTCTTTTGCACATTTTCCCCCAGGGTTTTGCTTTTTCTGCCATTCTATTTGTGCCATGACACACTTTCTAGGTGGTGTAGAAGAGCAGAGCTATGGATACAGCAGGGGCCTATTCCCTACTCAAAAGCAAAAGCAAACAAAAACGTTAAAACAGCTGCAAAGAGTGAAGAGGCCCTGAAGGATGAGGATGTCACATAAAACACCCACAAATGGCAATGAGTGAAGAATGATGAGCCTTATGTAGAAAGGTTCGCAGTCTTTTGGATATCTTGTTTCCAAGTACCAGCACTTTGCACTGTGCCAAGAAAGAGAACAGTAGCTAGTGAAGTTGTTTTAACGTAGGAGTTTCCTGTGACAGGCCCTGCTCAGCAGACTAGCTGTGACATGTTGAACCTGCAGAAGTTACCAATCGTTCTTCAAAGGCAGCACTGTGTACAGTTTGCTGCTGAAGTCCAGATGAGTTATAACTCGAAGCCAAACTCCACTTTCAATTAATCACGCAGTGTTTAGCTCAGGCTTCGTTTTTTAATATACTCTAGTGTAAGTGTGCTCTGTCCCAATTCAGGCTGCGACTATTCCTATAAAAATGGGAACAGTGATGAACTGAATTGTAGCTCACAGAAGCTCATGCTCATACATGCAGAAATCTTGAGGATGCTGAAGAATCTTTGGGTTCTTCCCAATGAAGGGGTCTTAGTGTCACAGTCACAAGGCATGATGCAGCTCTTTTATCTGTTCTTATTTTTTTTCCTGCAGTAAGAAAAATGCAAAGCGAAGTGAAGCAAAGCAGCAGCAGCAACCACAAAACCAGGAGGGGTGGGGGAACAAGTAAGGGTTAGAAGTAGATCTGATTATATTTGGACTACCCGCCCCATTTGATTTTTTTGATGCATCAGGCAGGCCAGCTGCATTTCAGAGCCTCATCTGGAACACTTTTTATTACTGCATCAGGTTAAAATGGCTGAACTTCTGGAAGTGACTCCACAAAAAGGAAAAGCTGGACTTGTATGAGAATTCTGTTTGGAGTGGTGGGAAAAAAGCTAGAGGATCTAGTAGCAAAGGGGGGGGGGCAGTCGGAGTAATATGCATGCCACTCTCCTTCTCAAGCAACATTTGATTGTGGCTTTACTTTCCCTTGAAAGCTTTCCATTTAACAGCTGTTGAGTGAGCACAAAATAACTAATGAACCTATTGCACCCTTGCTTGGTCAATGTCCATGGCTAGAAGGTGCTGTACTTTAATAGCAAACATGCCCCAGGATATTGATCAAGCCAGTCTTTTCATTTTGGACACTGTTAAGAATGCAGGCGCACAATTGTTAAAGACCTTAAAAAAAAGCAGCATGCTCCTGGGAAGAAATCCGGCATAGTCCACTCACTGCCACTTGCCAGAACAGCAGTGCTACATAACTAATTTTCACCAAAATGGAAATTGTAGTGTTACACATCCCTGGGGAAAGCACCTATTCGTCTTTGGTTGTAGTGTATTAATTTAATCTCATCTTTGCATGTTGTTTTCTTATCTGAATCAAATCCAGAGGCATGGCGGACTCTTCATTCCTTTCCTTCAGGCCAGAGGGGGGTTTTAGTCCATGGTCATTTTGCATAAGAAAACTATTGATCTTTCAGCTAGGACAGTTTTAATTTCTTTAAAAATCTAATGGTAGGAAGATTTTTTTCCTCTTTCAAAAACCAGGTAAGGCAGGAAGCCTGGCTAACACGAAGAGAGATGTCTGTGAGCATTCTAGTGGTTTGGAGCTCCTTGCTGGGGACTTTAATCCTATGCTTCTTGCGGAATCTGCAACCTATGCTGGGACTTCAGCATCCCTGAGAGGTACCTGCTTAACCTCCGGTGCCACTAATGGGTTAAGGATTTAGTTACCATCCTGCTCTTATAGAACTTAGTGGCAACACAGGTATTAAACTGAGTCTGGTGGTTGCCTAAACTCTGAATCAGCTCAAGCAGGCTTTTCTGCCTTTGCAGCAATGGCAGGATAGATGAGGAATATATTCTACTGCCTTCCAGGTAACAGAAGAATTAATATGACAACGTGGAAGGGGCATTTCCCATGTGAAGCCTTCTGCCTG